CTCGGAATTCCGTGTTCCAGGGTGGAGGGGGTTGATAAGATTTTAGTTCGTCTGCTTCCTGCCTGATGAGATATTCACACCGAATTTGGGCATCAGTTGTTCATGCTGTACCAGCGATCCTTTGTTTTGGACACAGAAGCAATCGGAAATACTACAATGGAGATCCAGTACCGCAAGGGTCAATAAATGGAACCGTCGTGATTAATGGCACTATTTCTTTGTAGACCGTGAGCTAGCTCGTGCTATCGTCTCTTCACCGATGGGACCCGTGAAACAGGAAGCGATACCCTGTAGATCACGGTAGCCAAGATGAGCGGGCGTCTACGACGTAACACTGCCGCTTTGCTAGGAATGCGACTAAGAATGTCATCGCCCCATGCCGTCATCGACTCCTCCACTCCTTTAACTCAACCTTAAACCCATCTCGACACTTTAAACTTTCCTGGTGCATCTATAAATCTTCAAAATGACTGAATCACCTCGAGAAACCGTCGCAAAACACCTGTCAGACCTCAGCAAACCGCTACGACCGATCCTCACATCTCTAAATGGCGATAACAGCTGGTTGATGTCATTTCCTAGGCCTGAGGAGGAGAGGGCTGCTACGGGGAAGGTCTTCTACCATCTTGCTTTCGAACCATGGCTGAACGGAGCTGCGCATGTTGGACATAGATGGATTGTTCACCTTGCTCGTGTTGAGAAAGAAGGGGGTTCGACATTTGAAGACCTAGAGAATGTTATCCGCGAGATCGAGCAAGCTGCTTCAGCCCATTTGCCATCAAAGGCTCCAGACCAAGTTGTTCAGCAAGAGTTGACATACCTACTAGATGCTATTCTTCTGGGCTTCTTTTACTCGGATCACCTTCATCCTCAAACCCTGAAAACATTCCCTCCAGATATCCCTGTCATAGTAACACCTCCGGGGGCTGCTATCATCAAGCCATGGAATCACTTCAAGACCATCAAAATCATCAACAACTTCGATCCCTCTGCGACAACTTGGAACTCACCAGACCTTCATCCGGGTGATCCTGTTCCACGCTGGTTTACACCACTCATGATACTCGGAAAAAGCGAACTGAACTTTGTCTTCGCTATAATCTGGTCGCATACCACCAACGGTGAAGAAGTCCACGAAGCAATCCTCGATTCTCCCCATGGTATACAGCTCGACGCAAAACCTCTCGAAGCGTTCCTTGAATCAGAGCCCAAGACAAAGAAACTAGCTATGCTTCACGGTCTTAAAGAAAGTCACACTGGCGGGATCCAAACATGTTACGGTGCAAAAGGCGGACTTGGACTGCATCGAAAGGTTGGAGGAGTAGACCATTGGGTCCTCACACATTCATCTGAGTTGAAATATACTGGGATATTCATGAGGCTTGTTTGGACTACCGATACACCGAGAACGATTGAGTGGGCTTTGGAGGAAGAGAAGAAGGCACATCCTGATGAGAAGTTGTCTGGGCCGCCGCATTTCATCAAGGTTCCGAATGGTGGATCAACGGTTCTTACATGTTAGTGAGCCTTGCGCTTTACGCAGTTTGCTATTTGTGATGAAAGTGATGAGGGACGATAGCTTGTCAAGCTGGTTGATGCCATTCGTTTTGAGCAGCCCGTATTTAAATAATTACATTTTTCTCTCGCAAAAATGCTCTGAGCACGCGCTTAAGAAACTCATAGTCCTTCATCTTGGACAATTGCTCAGATAAATAACAACAGTCAATCGCTGTCGGTATCGTTCTTCTGTAGACCAGGTTTGTTGATCGTCTCAGGCGGGTCGTGCTGCCAAAGCAGTGGAGACTCCACTGAGTTGTAGCGGATCGCTCCACTAACGCCTTTGGAGTCCTTGCATGAAACAGTAGGTCGTGAACCAGACTGCGAAGATTCATGATTCCGATTGCACATGGGACACTGGCGCACAATATATTGAGCCAAATGGGCATACGATCCAAAAAGAATTCTTGATACACCTAAGTCTATGTTCAGTCCATGCACGGCCAGTATAAGGTACTGAAGGTATCCTCTAAAATGATCCCATGGTACTGCATCACAGCCGATCCCCCGCGTGGCTCCAAAATGCATCAATCCCCAGTGTCACCATTCGCTGAACCTAGCACTACAAAAATCGTCGGAGTAGGACGACCAAGTTCCCAATTGGATTATTGAGTCTGTGTGACGCGTTGTTGGGAACAGTCGATGCCGACGCGGTTGGTGTTGACGCGACAGCACTGTCGCTTGTCGAGGCCTCAGTTGCAGAGGCCTTCTCAGGCTTGGTGACAGATGTAGTCTCTTCGATGGCCTCCGTTGATGCTGTAGAAGTGGTCGCAGAGCCGGTTGTCGAGGCTCCAAGGGTACTCGTAACAACAACAGCAGTTTTTGTCGAACCGGTCAATTCAGCACTTGTCCCAGACGATCTCTCATCCCCGTCATTTCCAGGCACCAGGTCCAGACCGGTATTGAAGACACTGTAGGCATCTTCTCCACCACAGGCGTTGAGCGGATAACCAGGACAAGGAGTGTCGCACTTGTCATCGTCTACCAGCGCAGATTTGGCCGGATAGACATCAGCGCAAATGCACTCGACATCCTTCATTATCGCTACAAATTTGTTCTGTTTCTTGCAGTAGTTTCCGCATGAGCCGGGGCTGTTGAAGGTCTGAGATTTTCCATCGGCTTTACTGGGAGGGGAGTCGAAGCATCCCTGTGATGTGAACTCGTTGAGAACAGGGTCTTGGATGGGTATTTGAGTTGCTTTCTTGGCGGCGGCCAGCGAAAGAAGCGAGAGCAGCACGAATTTGGTGAATGCCATGATTGTATCTGTCGTTTATTCTGGGGATGAGATTGAAGATGCGACAGGGCGATGTTTATATCCGTAAAATCTCCTCAACTGCAGTGGGGATACAGGGCGTAGTTAAATTAGATGCTTGGAGTGCCAATCATGGCGACCCGCTATCGTCGATGAAACGCGAAGGATCGTGCTGCCTTGCTTCGCCTTGTTCAACATTGTCAGCGAGACATCAACATGGCGCCATTTCGCCTTGTGATTCACTTGGAAAGCTTGGCTATATAAAAGAAACAAACGCATTGAACATGTTGCTTTTGTTGGCTGAGAGCGGTGAATGTCAACGCGCTTCGAAGGAAGATGAAAGGAGTGCTCGAATCCTTCAATTGAGCTATGACCTCAGCCAAGCAAGAATTGTCCGAACAGCAATTTTAGTGTCTCTCTCAGAGACAGAGGGACTTCCGATACACTGGTGACATATCGACAGATTAAAAACTGAGCTGGTTTGGGCGATGAATTGGCGTAAGGCTCTGTGTCGATGGAAGTTTTCTAAGGAAGAACGCGACGAGAAAGACAACCCAAGAGAGTCGACGGTTATTAGTGCTTGGTGCTTACCATCACAGTAGTACGAAAATTGAAGGGGCAAAAAAAAACAAAAAAAAAAAACAGCTTGAAATACTAGCAAGGGTCAATTGAGAATTATTTTCTTCTACTCAAGGTTTCCAAAAACGACACTCTGCAAGTTTGCGCAAAGATTGCCAAAATGTTTGAGTTTGTAGTACCTAGAAGAGTAGGCATTCTCATCATTCAATTGGTTGGCGGGTTTAGCTCAGTTGGGAGAGCGTCAGACTGAAGTCAAACTTCGGGAATCGTAATCTGAAGGTCGTGTGTTCGATCCACACAAACCGCATTTTCTTTTGCTTTTTTTACACTATCTCCTCAATCCTTCTCTTCTATCCCACCCCATACAAAACTGCCTGTTCTTTTTGGCCCAATTTTCCTAGACCACATGTATATCAGGTACAGTAATCAACGAGATCTCCAGTCGTCATTGAAATGGAACCTGATGCGCGTGCAACCTGCAAGATGATGAATTGTGCCGGGATATCCGCCTTGAGTAACTCTAAACTTAAGCACCTTGCAGGTCAATACGAGCTATGAGGTTTCAACGGAAAGCTAGAGCTCCATCTACTTTGTGCCAGAATCCTCTAGAGCGACGCGCGTTGCACGACATGAGTAAGCAAGCCAAAGAAGTGCAACCAATACGTTTCAGCTCCAGCGTAGCACAAAAGTTCCGGTATAAAACTCTTCGGAGCCTTTCCTCCAGGGAACATGTCACAAGAACACAGAGATGTGTACCCAGACACAGTGAAACTGCTATGCGGCGGGTCAGGTTGCGACGGAAGAACATCTATGGTCCCTCATCGAGTCAAGAAAATGGAATTCAGCGATGAGGGCATGGAACAAGCTAAACCGTCGGAGGACGCGCCAACAATCATAGTAACCGAAGCCAAGTGAAAAGCTTGAAAAAGCCACCCGCAGCTTGCCCTGCCGATCAAAGCTTACCCCTCCAAAGATGAAGTCATAATGAATGGCCCTGTCTGGCATTGATTCTAAAAGAACATCAATCAAGTTCCGCTCAGCATGCGTGGGCCATTACCACTTGACATCCCGTAGAAACATGAGGAGACAACGACCATCAACGCTCCCTCCGACCTTGGCGTGCCCTGCAACGCACAGCTTATGGGAGCCCTCGCGCAACGCTGCGTGAGCTTCTTGCGCAGCTGAATAGCTCTCAAATTGTAGGGCTGACATGGTATCAGATCCATGTCGCTTTGGCTTGAAGTTTAACGCCAAGGCGTCGGGAAATACGATGCACCCATGGAAATTTGATTGACCAATGGCAATGCCATCGAATAGCTAGTGCCAATGTTCCCCTCTTGATTTCACTCTGAGCCGCAACCGAGTTGAAGTTTCCTGCGCTCCGGGACAGAGTAAGAACAAAAGCACGATATGGCACTTTTAAACCTTGGATGACCGTCGCTCACAGTCTAGCTGAGGGGTTGTAACCGTCACAGCATGTGCTCGGACAGAGGCCCGGCCAGCCATTTGGCCATCCCGATTGGACTGGATATCTCCAGGCTTTGCAACCACGATCTGAGCGGAAGCTACCATTAAACCTTGAGCTTAAGCTTGAGCTTTGACGAATAGAAACGTGAGTTACACGTATGAGATGGAGTCTTTCCAACCTCCCAAGCGGCGGACCTCGCGTGGTGGCTGGCTTCATCACTATTCTACGACTTCTCAGTGCTCACTTGGACCAGCTGAAGCATGGCTTCCCTATATAAGCTGGGGTTCTTCCACCTTTCTTGGTTCTTAGACCTTCACGTATACATTGTCACTATCTGTCTGCGGCTTCGAGCAAATTCAGCATTCAAAACGTATCACCGAATCATCATATAGTGTCACCTCATACCTTAGTCACCAAGCTTAATTCAAAATGAAGTCCTTCATCCTCCTCGCTACTACTCTCCTTACCTCCTCTGCCATGGCGCAATCTACTTCCCAAACTGGAGGCCAAGGCGGCGGAGGTGTTCTCCCTGAATGCGCAGTAAGTCAATCTCCGTCACAAGTTTGTCTCAGACCTGACACTCAACACAGAAACCTTGTGCTATGAGGGCCATCGAAGCCAGCAATTGTGGCTCCGAAGATCCTTCTTGCGTATGCAAAGCCCCGGGCTTTGCCGAAGCCTACGTCAGCTGCGTCGAATCAAGCTGCAACCCTCGTGAGGCTGCTGGTAAGTCCTGTCTTCCATCACAATGGAAATCGTGATCTAAATGCATATAGCTGCGATTGCTGCGGGTCTTCGACTTTGCCAGGCTGCTGGAGTTACCATCACCGGCGCCCCGAGCGCCACGGCTGAGCCCAAGTCTCATGGACCAACATCTGCTAAACCTGTTATTCCCAGTCCTCCCGTTGTAAGTTCAAATGCTTCTCGAAAGACTTGATACAATACTGACTGGTAAAGGTTCCCACTGAACGTCCTGTCGCTACTCCGACTGCTCCTGCACCTATTCCAGCTACACCTGTTCCCACCGCTGGCGCCAACTCACTTGGTATTGGAGCCGCATCTGTTGGACTTGCCTGGGGTTCCATCATGTTCTTGTTTGCGCTCATGTAAGACGCTGCACAAGCTTTGCCTTAGCTGAGACGTCAGTCCAGGATATCATCAGCAAGTTCACCAGTTGATGACGATGGAACATTCTATAGGTATCTACGCACAATGGTGATAATCATTGTTATTATGAGAGCGCTTTGCGCTTTTTAACTTTGCTTTGTGATACGAAGACTTGACCTCTTTCAAGCGCCTGGCTGCGTATTTGTGTATATCCTCCGCAGGGTGATATGAGATTCGAAACTTGTCTCCCAGATATCCAGAAAACTACCACCTCTCTGACTTTCATGTTTCTTAACATACTCAAGACCCTCAAGAGCTTATTCAGTGTCGCTTGTTTTCTGTTCTTGAACTCTCTCGTTCTTCCTCAGACATCATCAGGTATCCATGGGCAGCCGCTTCCTAACACTATACGAACCGCTCAAGTTTTCTTCAGCAATTGACAGTGTAAGCACAGACATCTAAATAGATTAAGTGACGCACCGCCCGTTGAATCTTAGGATCGGTGTTACACAGCCTGGGGAATGAGCCGAAAGTCACGTGCTTGAGTTGCCCAGACGGGCCACTGCTCGTAAGCCAAGATTCCTGTTTTGTTTTGATCTCGCCCTTTTTCTTTCATCCTCACACATCATTTTTCACATCATCACCATCATTCTCACATCGCCATCGTTACTTCTTTCATCCCTTCACACTTTTTGCGACGATGGCTCAAGCTCTTGAGGCAACCGCCTCATCAGCGCGACCATCCCCCGCACCAACGGCGACAATGACCACTGACGCCGACGCCCATGAGGCTGGGTGGCCTGCGTACTTTTCTAACAGCCCCAACCCCAAAGACGTCCGCCTGGTTCATCGCATCGAAAATATTACCGGCAGCAAGCCATGGGAGTGGTTGGCCGAGTTCCCAGCAAAGCAATAGGGTCGCAAATTGCTGAGTGACTTGGCCACCACTCTCGAACACACCATCGACGGTCCGGAAACCTGTAACGTGGCTGCAATCAAAGATTTTCTCCATCAGCAGGCGAACACTCGCGCAAATCAGAACGGCGACGCTCCCGCACTTCGTCCGGTCGATGTCAGGCTAGCAAGGGAACACTTCCAAGTACCTAAAGTTCAACGAAGGAGGAGAAGCGTTTCGAAGCCTGTTACTCGACTAGACGACGGTGAACTTGAGAATGACTCTGCTGGTGAGGGAAGCGATATCCCCAACACCATCCGAGCTCGTTCTGATGCCTCAATCATACAAGAAGTTGGCGCAACCGACGATGAGGAGGAGCCTGGCAGCAACGGGTCTTCGCGCCACCGCAGAGGATCCTCGAAGCTCATCATTGCCCTCCAGTCAAAGAATGTCCCTAATGGCACGCCTGAACCCGAGGCCGATACAGAGCCTCTCACTATCAGTGATGACGAAGCCTCCGTTCACGATAACATCAATGCGGCTGGCGAACCCACTCTCGCCGACACCACTCTAGCAACTCCCTGCCTAAAGCCTCAGAAGCGAGACCGCTCGATCTCAGCGACGCCGACCAACCCGTTCAACAAGCGTATCCGCAGCGGAAGCGGAGCCTCTCACCAGGCGCTCGTCCCTCCCGCGACCATTGAGGGGGAAAACGTAAGTTCTCATGCGCTCCTTGTCGTTATGATAACATCTAACATAATGAAAGTATGACGACAGTGCCCAGCTCGTTCAAGTATCCGCAGGCTTCGTTCAGCAGCTGGCGAACCACGTCCGTAATCTGAGCAGACAGCATGAAGAACGCCGCAAATCCGCTCGGTTCTTACAACATCATATCCACATGCAACTCGAAGGCTATCAGCCCAGCCTCGAGGCTCACCGTGGCGCCCAAGACGAGTTCGCTGCCTCCGCAGCTAGAGTCGAAAACCTCCGACAGGAAAACGATAAACTCTTGGCTACCCGAAAGACTATGGACGACGCGAAGGATATGTGGATGGAAGCCTCGCCTGATCACTTCAAAGGCATGGAGAGAGACCTGCAAGAGAAACTGGCCGCGAACGAAAGCGCTCTTCAGGAAGCCGAGACTGGGTACGACCTTGCTAAAGTCGCTCTCGAGGAGACTGAAGCGGCTGCCCGTCCGGCGTTGGAGATTACGAATCGAGAAATGCCCAAACTTCAGGAGCTGAAGGCCAGTGCTGAGAAGCTCGGTACGCATATGGAGCACACCGACTTTCTCCTATTCATGGTTCAGACTGGTCCTTTGGCTGTCGCGACAATCGACAAACTTCTCGAGTCAAAGGGTGTGTCGCTGAATGAGCTCAGGGCGATGATTGTGGAGGATGCAAAGCCTGCCGAAGAGAACGGGCAGCAGCCTGATGCCCCAATGGCCTGAGTCATTCGGCCCACAGTTGAGATTGACCAGTAACGGGCTGAAACCAACGCTATCACCTTAATGAATTTGATGTGCTGGGAATGGGAATGAGACCGCCTACAGCATCTGTCGCCCCAGGGGAGGATAACGGAGCGTCGTTTGATCGACAATGAGATTTTACTTTCGTCAATGGCATTGGTACATAACATGCGCTTATCATACCACGATCATTTTGTGCCTGCAGGCATTACTTTTAGCAACAGACGTTATCTAGCATACAGCGAAGTTGTCATACTTCTAATCAAGTACCATTAACTCGAATATATTGGCTGTACCGCATAATACGCGCTGAACTTTGCAAACTTTATCTGTGATACTTGCTTCTATATGCCAATTCCAGCAAGCCAT